ACAAATAAAAAACAAGAAGCATTCATACCGCAGAAAATAAAATTCACCCCCTCGACTTGATGGACACCCCAACATTGCGTGGGGCGCCCTCCCTCTCTTGGGGTGCAGTACTACGATGCAGCTGGGGTCACTCAAACCCCCAGAACTGAGCCTCTACTTTAGTCAATCCTCTTCGGTTCCTACAATCCAGCGATCTCCTATGTGAAAATTGACCCCAAGTCTTAAATAATAATAATAATAAATAATCTACGAGTGCTGTGATAGTCCGAAAGACGCACCTCCGCTGAATAATACCCAAAAACTGAAAAATAGTTGCAACAATTTACCATCGGCAACAAATTGTTCCCGAGATCTGACAACAATTGATCTGTTCCACTGTCAGTTCAGGTGAGCGAACCCCTAAAAATTCTGAATAAAAACCTTCAACTGCTTTTTTTTTCTCCAACAATTCAAGGACCGGGATATTTATGGCATTCATTAAATTAATAAATCGTAAAATCGATCATGAGGGACTATTTTCGGTAGAAGCTCCTGCATATTCTCCATTTTTAATCCTAAAGATTAAAAATTACTCATATCATCAGAGAGATTCTCGATTTTTCTCCTGAGAAACAACATAACCTATTTGTTGCTGCAATCAAGGCCTCATTTAAAAAACCGGAATGGCTGTTCTATTTCTCCTAGTAAATAATTTACCCACAAATATCTCCGAATGTGAACATGAATTTCCTTTTCTTTTCCTGAAGCCTCGAGATGTGAGAGAAACTAGAATGAATAATAATTCTCCATTTATTAATCCAACGAATTATTAGATAATTGTTAATGAAAGTAGAAAAAATCGTTAACAAAATAAATAGGATATTGTGGTAATTTATGAGCTGACTAATTATTCTGATTCGATCCTATGACAATATCATAGAACATACGTAATTTCTCGTGCCATGAGCAAAAGTCAAGGACATCACCTTTTTTCTATTCGTTATGTTATTTATGTGGATTTATGTAAGAAATTCTATTTTTGTGTATAATGTCTGGAATTGGGAGGCATTATTTATCATTGACGTACTTAATATTGATTTTTTTTCTTATCTATCCATAGATTTATGGGGATTAAATATAAGTTTACCGCATCTAATCAGTTAGTCGTACGGTAGAGTTCAACAGCCAATGACAGGAAACGATTTCTATCATCTCAGATTTTTACGATACATTAACGATATGGTCAACAAAAATTGCCTTCAAATCACAATCATCCGATGAACTGTCACATCCAATGACTAGTTTTTTTTATCAATTTTGCTTGAACTGCTAACGCATGTAAAAATTCACGAGATAAGCTCGAATGATTGGAAGATTGTTAAAAATCGAGGTAAAAAAAATTGAAATTAATTGCAGAATAACTCCGAATCTATGGGATATAGTGAAATTTTCATCAGGACTTATTTTGAAGAGAATAGCGAGAGCAAGAAATAAATGCTCTTCGAAAATTTTCGTATCTCTCTTGGATCCTGAGATGCTGTTGAAAAACGCATTGATTACCTAAATTAATTAGAATTTCATGATATTTTTTATTAATAATTGACCAAAGACCAATCAGAGCTCCGGAACCCAAACACTCCCAAAATCTCAAGCTTTTAATTTCCTTTTTAATGAAAATATTCCCCGGAAAAATCCGACTCGATCATAAAACCGATCAAATGAATTAAAAAAATGAATAACACGCGCGTTACGCGCATTGAATTGCAATCAACAATAAATGCATTACGTTGTGAATAGCCTATTTAAAAATCTACTTGAATTCTTCTATTTCCCCGAGCCTTCGTATTTTCCTACAAAAAAAAAAGTCACCCGATTTTTCTTATCACCACGCGTATATTCTCGTGGGAGTGCTAGAGCCGCGTGGAATTGATGAAAGAATATTGAAAAATAGAAGTAGAGGGAGAGAAAATGAGTGGGAGGGGAGAAAAAGTGGAGTTACGAGAAATCATACGATATCTCGCCACCACTGTGTGTTCGACATTCGTCAGTTATTTTATTGAGACGACAGTTGATCGTGAGGTGTTGGTGATACCGCGTCTGCTTATTTTCAGTACCGATTTGAAGGGATTTTATTTACGGAGGGTTTTATCAAGGAAATAATAGGATTTATCAATTAAAATCACGTGAGTAGAGTAATTATTCATTAATTATTCAGCAATAACGTCAGAATAACCGGAATGAATCGGCACGCGTGAAAGTTCGAGCGAGGAGCGAGAAAGTGACCGGATCGTTATTGTATTTTAATTATTCATGATCCTTCACGTACCATGATTGTTTTTTTGTATTAAAAGAACCTGTCATCGGCTTTTTCAAACATTCCAACCGCAAAATTTCCCGTTTCTAGAATAAAAATAGGGAAATACCGATTTTGGGAAATCGCTCTAAAATTCGTGGAACACGTGCTGTTGATTTTGGGGCAAAAACGACAGAATTAAAGGACACAGCGAAATTTTGGTGGGAACCTTTTTTGCAGCTCTCGATTGGCTCTACAAAAAAGATCTTAACGAAAATTTTGGCATCTCCATTCGTTTCGGGGATATTTTCGGAAAAGCTCATTTTATCGTTTTCTTAACGATCGCTTCCTCGTTTCTTCTTATCGCGGAATGTCTGAATATTCAGATGAGTAATTCATACGTTCTTTTTCAAACGTAAGCATCAGGTATTCCACGCTGACTTAGCATGCTTTCTTGTTTAATGAATTTTCATGAATCCACGATTATTGACGAAATTCCCTAGTCATTACATGAGAAACCGAATTGTTTCGAGCGTTATCTCCAAAGTTCACGGTCAATCGTTATTAGTTTCCTGGATTTCCCCGATTTTCTGAATGCTCGATGAATTTTCGGGGATTACCCACTTTCACCGAAATTCTCGGCTATCGGAATGTCGCCGAACCACTTTTTCAATTTTTATCTCCACTTTCACATGTGAGGACTACCGCCTTTTCTTATCGTCAAATTTTCATTCACTCAAATTCGATTTCCCGTCTGCAATCGATCCGCTATTTTTCCGGATCTATATAATAACCGACTAAAATAATTAATCGACTGAACCGATTGTTTGATCGACTCGTTATTAATTATTCAAATTATTCGCGTAATTATACTGGGATAATGAAACGATCGGAGAAATCGATAATACAGAAAACGGGCAAAAATAATTAATCGATTGAACTGATCAATTATTTATAAATTAGACGATCAGCCACTGAATCCACGTTAGTTGAAAGAATTCGAATTAGATTTGGCATACCCGGAAGGGAATTCCACTTCCAAAACCGATCACAAATCGAGATTGATAACATTATCATATTCAACAAAAAACGCGTCTTGATTATCAACACGCCTCACCTGAAGCGTCATTCTCCTCATCTCCACTAGTCATGAAACTAGTCATGAAACTCTAGTTTGAACTACAATAGAAATCCACCTGTCGTTCCAGATAATTAATCTAAAATGTCAGCGAAGGCGATACGCGAGGCAACCGGAAAAGACCTGATAAACCGTAAACTAGGGAATGGCACTAAAGCAGCGAAATGCCGATTCGTTCAAATCGACGAAAACACGAATTGGAACACAGCAATAGCTGAAAATCCTTGGTTGAATACCGAGAAACTCGTGGTAAAGCCAGATCAGTTGATCAAACGTCGAGGTAAACTCGGTCTGATAAAGGTAAACGCAGACTTACCAACTGTTCGACATTGGATAAACGAGCGCATGAATAAAGAGCAGAAGGTTGAGAAGGCAACGGGAAAGCTGAAGACATTCATAATCGAGCCTTTCGTTCCCCACAAGTCCGAGGAAGAGGCATACGTCTGCATCTATTCCCACCGAACAGCAGACACTATTTTATTTCATCATCAAGGAGGCGTTGACATCGGTGATGTTGATGCCAAAGCGCTGAAACTAGATGTGCCTGTTGGAAAAGAACTCCCGGACAAAGCTACGATAATCAGTAAACTCTTGCCAAATGTTGCTGACAACAAGAAGAATGATATTGCTGGGTTCATTGAAGCTCTCTACAAGCTGTACGCCAGTCTTTACTTCACGTACCTGGAGATCAATCCTCTGGTTGTCACGGACTCGTTTATATACATCCTGGACTTGGCTGCTAAACTGGACACGACAGCAGATTTTATCTGTCGACCGGATTGGGGCGAGATATCTTATCCTCCACCATTTGGACGTGATGCTTATCCTGAGGAGGCATACATCGCTGATCTTGATGCCAAGTCAGGTGCATCGCTGAAGCTGACGATTCTCAATCCAAAGGGGAGGATCTGGACGATGGTGGCGGGTGGTGGGGCTTCGGTGATCTACTCCGATACTATTTGCGATTTGGGGGGAGCTTCTGAGCTTGCTAATTACGGTGAGTACTCGGGTGCTCCGAGTGAGCAACAGACGTACGAGTATGCCAAGACAATTCTGAGTCTGATGACCAAGGACAAACATCCAGAGGGAAAGATTCTGATAATCGGCGGTGGAATCGCTAATTTCACGAATGTCGCTGCAACGTTCAAGGGAATCGTCAAGTCCTTGCAGGAGTTTCAGCCGAAACTCGTGGAACACGATATCAGGATCTTCGTGAGACGGGCTGGACCCAATTACCAAGAGGGTCTGAGGATTATCCGTGAAGTGGGTCGTCGTCTGGCTATTCCCATCAATGTCTTCGGTCCGGAAACCCACATGACGGCAATCTGCGCAATGGCCATGGGTAAGAAACCGATTCCCGATCCTGAGGCACAGGAATTTTCAACAGCGAACTTCCTTCTACCCTCGGGACAGGATGTGGGACCCACATCGCCGCCTCCAACGTCGTACCCACCTCCTATACAGCAGAAGCCAAAGCCACAGGACTCGACAGACTCATCCACACAACAGCTGTTCAGCAAGGAGACCCGTTCGATCATCTGGGGAATGCAGACGCGGGCTGTGCAGAGCATGTTGGACTTTGATTTTGTCTGTCGGAGAACTGTACCATCAGTCGCTGCCATTGTTTATCCCTTTGTCGGTGATCACAAGCAGAAGTTCTACTGGGGCCACAAGGAAGTCCTCATTCCTGTTTACAAAGTGATGAAGGACGCCATGGGAAAGCATCCTGATGCCGACGTTATGGTTACCTTCGCTAGCTTGAGATCTGCCTACGACAGCACTCTCGAAACCCTGCAGTTCCCCCAGATCAGGACAATCGCTATTATTGCAGAGGGAATACCCGAGAACATGACCAGAAAGCTCATTCTTATGGCAAATGAGAAGAACGTCACAATTATCGGTCCAGCGACTGTTGGAGGCGTCAAGCCTGGCTGTTTCAAGATCGGAAACACTGGAGGAATGATGGACAACATTCTCCACAGCAAGCTATATCGACCTGGAAGTGTGGCTTATGTGTCCAGATCTGGGGGAATGTCGAATGAGCTCAACAACATCATATCGAAAGCTTCTAATGGAGTTCTGGAGGGAGTGGCCATCGGTGGGGACAGGTACCCAGGAACTACCTTCATGGATCACATTATGAGGTACCAGAGCAATCCACAGGCGAAATTGATTATTCTGTTGGGTGAAGTCGGGGGAATTGAGGAGTACGAGGTGTGCGAGGCACTCAAATCGGGAAGGATAACGAAACCTCTGGTTGCCTGGTGCATCGGCACCTGCGCCAGTATGTTCAAGTCGGAAGTTCAATTCGGCCATGCTGGATCCATTGCTCATAGCAACATGGAGACAGCTTCAGCGAAGAATGAGGCACTCAGGAAAGCTGGGGCACATGTGCCCGATAGCTTCGATACTCTTGGTGATCTCATTGCTTCGGTTTATGGAAAACTCGTGGAAAGTGGTAGCATTGTGCCAGCGCCTGAAGTACCACCACCAACTGTTCCCATGGATTACAACTGGGCGAGGGAATTGGGACTCATCAGAAAACCCGCGTCCTTCATGACGTCAATCTGCGATGAACGAGGACAGGAACTGCTCTACGCTGGAATGCCCGTTACTGAGGTTTGTCAATTCTTTTATCATTATCATCAACAAAATAATTCGGTATTTCATGCGAAAATTTTAGGTTCTCAAGCAAAACGTGGGCATCGGAGGTGTTGTCTCCCTCCTTTGGTTCCAGCGGTGTCTCCAGCCAACGTACTGCAAATTCCTGGAGATGTCCCTCATGCTGACAGCTGATCATGGTCCAGCTGTCTCTGGGGCGCACAACACCATCGTCTGCGCAAGAGCTGGAAAGGATCTCGTGAGCTCGCTTGTATCAGGGCTTCTCACTATTGGTGATCGCTTCGGTGGTGCTCTCGATGGAGCCGCTAGGATGTTCTCCGAGGCATACGACGCTGGTCTCCATCCTCAAGAGTTCGTCAATAACACGAGGAAAAAGGGAGAGCTCATCATGGGCATCGGCCACAGGGTCAAGAGCATCAATAATCCTGATATGAGGGTCAAACTCATCAAGGAGTACGTCATGGAGAATTTCCCGGTGAAGCCACTTGTGGAGTACGCATTGGAGGTGGAGAAGATCACAACCAGCAAGAAGCCTAATCTTATTCTCAATGTTGATGGCATTGTGGCTACAGCTTTTGTGGATATGCTCAGGCACTCTGGAATGTTCACCAGGGAAGAGGCCCAGGAGTACATCGAAATTGGGGCCATCAACAGCTTGTTCGTACTTGGCAGGAGTATAGGGTTCATTGGTGAGTCCCAATTATTAATCATTCAAAAACAATAATTAAATAAATAAATGAATACAGGGGTGGTAATGGTAGTATGAAAGAGAAATAAATGAATTAGTTAGTAAATGATAAATGAGTGAAATAATGAATAAATAAATTACTGTTTGTTTTTCTTCGGTTTAGGTCACTATATGGATCAAAAACGATTGAAGCAAGGGCTCTATCGTCACCCGTGGGACGATATCTCATACGTTCTCCCTGAGCAGTACAACTGAAATAATTGCTGAATAGAAAACACAAAATCACTTTCAATGCATAATACGTCCACTCCAATAACTAACGAGATCTGCAGTTCTCCAGAGTAATGGTGAATCGTTTCTCTCAGAGCACCGAGCAAAATAGATAATTACTTCATCGATCGATTGAAAGACGCGAATAAATTGGTTGAAATCGTTAACTACAAAATCCTGAAGGTCTAGTTGAACAGAAAATGATTAAATAATCTCTGGAGGTATCACATTCCCTAGTTTGTACGATAAATTAGTGGATATCAACGACGGCAGCACAAAGTTCATGCAATTTAGAGAATAATTGAAAATTATTTTTCAAGATTAATAAATAGAATGTAAAGTGTCGAAATTGCACAAGGGAAATTTCTTCAACACGTACTAGGTAATGATGAATAATTTACGTGCATTTGTATTATAATTTAAGGGTTGTATCAAAATTAAGGAGTAGTAAGTGTGAAATAGGTGATTGATTACGTTATTCTCAATGTTTAATTAGGTTTTAGGAATATTTTTATTTCTGTTAGGCACGGTGGAAGGCTTCATCCGGCCTTTTCTTTACGATTTTGTTCGAGTATTTTTTTTCTTATTTGTCTTTATAGAAAAAATAACAACGTGAATTATTGAACTTAATAAAATTGAAAAGAAGAAAAATTGTTTTGCCTTTTTCAAAAGCTCCAACAATTTTGGAATCTTTATTTATTTATTTTTTCAGAAACTAAACATGTGTGAGTGCATGAAAAAATCCAGTCGTCTTCGCACATAATCAATTATTTATTACAAATGGAATTTCTATAAATGTATTCTTTTCATTTTCGTTTATTTCTAGTCAGAATGATTTTCTCTGAATTATTGGAGTTGATTATTGTATTTTTCTTGGTCAATATGATTTTCGTGTACTTGACTGTTTCACTTGATTTTATAGTCGGCCCCTGGGAACGACTGGGACCTGCAGGTCTGAGGACGATTTGATTGTAATTCTGGGATTTATCTGATTTCGTGTTCTTGTTGCTCAGGAGGACGACCTTGGTGGGTGGATTTTTCTCCTTGGAGGAGTCCCCTAGGCCCACTGGAGGCGGAATCTTCTCGAGAGATGTTAAATTGTCATCGTCTTTGGCGAATATTATTGGAATGTCTAAGATACTCCCAAAATCGTCAGCTAGATCCTTAGATTCAGTCTTTTCCCAATTTTTTGATGGGCCAGTGGCCAGTACTCTATGAGCACTAGCTTCACCAGGTGTTAATTTAGTTGATATCGGGATTATTGTCATGGAATTCTCGTTGGCACTTCCGCCCTTATCGCTGGACTCAATGCTGTTCTCCACTAAAAATTCACAATTATCAAACTTCAATGTGTTATCGTCAATTATCTCGAAAACAACTGGGCACAGAGCAAAATGATAAATACATTTTTTGTAGATCACAAGATTTTCCTCAAAAAAGTCCCTAGAGAATTTTCTCTCAACTCAATTGTTCCTGAGATATTTGCATTTAACATACGGGAAATTTCCCATTTTTTGTGCACGCATCGAAATAATAATAAATAATTCCAATATTTAATAAAAAAAAAAGGATTCCCGGGAAAGGACACGACTGCAGATGGATTTGAAAAGAACGAACTCAAAAGAAAGTGAAAAACCACATTTATTACCTCAAATATAAAAAAAAAAAATAAAATGAGAATTATTTGAGAAATTCTCATTTTCAACGAATTTACACTTGCCCCGTCCCTAAAGTATCCAAATTCACTCTACCTGCGGTGATGGCGGAGGTAGACGGCTCCCCAGGACCGATTCCCTCGGAAGTCAGTGCCCCAGGTTCATACCTCGTGTTTATCCTCGGGAGAGCTCTTCTGGTAGGATCTCTGTCGTCATCAACATCCAGGGAAATTCCCTCGTCCCTTTTCCCCACCCTGACGACCCCTCGTCCTCCCATTCCCTCGGACTTCCTCATTCTTGTCAGACTGACCCCCAAGGGTGCCTTCGTGACAATTCCCTCGGTGCCAGCCCCAAACTTGATGGGTCCCACAGGGGACAGACTAGCGAGACCCCCGATATTCAGGGTAATCCCCCCATTTCCATTTCCAGGAACTTGACCACCGATGGCCACCAATTTTGGATTTATCGAGCACCTGGACTTGACACTTCTCCTCGCGGAGTGTCCATTACGCCCAGGAAGAGACTTCACCGACCTGTTTGGTACCTGGAGCATCACCTGGGGCATATTCTATCACAAGAAAATCGTTATATCAATTTAATCAATTTTATATCATAAAAAAATTACTTCTATTCTAAAACTGAATTTTCAAATAAAAAATTTCACCTGCATTCCCCCGGGATATCCAGAGCCCGTAGGTGTGGCAGGTCTAGATTTCTTCCCCGGAATATCACAGCTGTCAACCGAGCTGCTGGTGGAGTTCTTCCGCTTCCTGGATTCCTTTCTGACGCCCTTCCCCTCATAGTTAATATGAACATGCCTGAGGGGCAGAGGATGGGGCTGAAGAAGAATGCCCCCAATGAAATTCCCCACTTCATCAAGGATACACCTGTCAACGATTCCCTGGGTTATCCCCTCATTCCTCTTCCTGGAGGAGATCTTCAACCGATCATCAGCGGTCCCCACAACAACGAGACTAGTCTGTACGAGCATTCTCTCCCTGATCTCCTCGATGTCGTCAGCCCTGACAGACGCAGCTTTTTCCCCGATGACGAACATCACAGGACATCTGACGTCCATGAGAATGTCATCGGGTGTTGATCGTTTGCCCTCGGCAGTGCTGAAGGGAAAACCAAGACAAACAGTCGCATTTACATGTTCGATCATGGAGATTTGACATGCAAATGCCGCCCCAGCGTTGAAACCGACGAGGATGAGGGGCCTCCCGGGGCAGTCGGATCTGATCTCCTGGATCTTCGCCCTGGTCGCCTGGACAAGCTGATCCATGCAGGACGTCATAGTCATCTTCCCCGAGGTGATGCCGAAGTGGGGATTAACCGAGACAACTGTACCCAGAGAATTTAACTGTGAGATCCACTTGACCTGACGTGACGACAGCTGACTGGAGATTCCCGAGGGTGTGACAATGAGAATGGGATTGCCCGGTAATTTTTTGGGGCGCACTGACGTGAGTCCCACCCCAACGGGGTCCCAAGACCTTTTGAGAACCGACCCCAGGGTCTCCCAGTTGATAGATCCACCAGATCTCGTGGTAATCGTCGGCTGTGTCGACACGACTTTATCAATCAGCTGTGGAATTTTTCCCCTCAGGGTCTGAAGGGCATCCAGGTAAATCCCCAGGTACTCCCTGGGGAGATTGTCAAAAAGTATTCCATGGAGCCAGTGGATCACCCGGATATCGTACCCCGTCGATGCGAAAACATGTCGAAACCTCTTGGAGGTGGAGTCAATGGACAATCGTCGAGTTATCGGTAGCACCTGGGAATTTGATTTAACGAGACGTGATAGATGTTCCTCGGAGAGGATTCGAAGGACTCGTGACCACAACCGACTCTGTAGGCCCGACCAAAAGGTCTTGTCGATCTTTTCTTCCCAGTCCTCGGGGCTATCCGGACGTGCAAATGACGCGAGCCGTTGACATTCCTCCATCTGATGGAGGGGCTTCACCAGGTCACTCGGGGGTGGTGGTGTCTCTGGGGGTGGCGTCTCTACATCGATGTCCAGATTTTTCTGAGAATTTTTTTGAATTTCACAGGTACTCGAGAAGAAGATTCTCCTGGTGGGTCTCACGTAGATGCTCTCGGGTTTCCAGTTCCAGGCACGGGCGTAGCAGTGATCCGTCAGGACGATACTCATCTCGTTGTCGGGACATCCTGCCAGGGTTTGAAGGTACCTTGTTAATCTCTTCAGGGTGCCCTCCGGGGAGTCCGTTCCAGAGGACTCCAGGAGTTGTACTTTGTCAGGATTCATTTTTATTCTTTTCCCGAAGACGTAAATTAGATGACCATCAGAAAACCATCAGTGGATCATCAGAAAGTCGACACATTATTATTTTATCTACCCAGACACTCTTCATTCATTCACACAATATATTGTTTATTCATTTCAAGGATTTCTCGAGTTATTTTTTATTTCAATGGTTTATTTATGACGTATTCGGGTGTTTATTTATAAATCTCCAGTGATTTAATCCCAATAAATCTCGAAAGGTTGCACCCAATTTAATTATATTTATTCTATTGCGCGTGAATACAACCTCTTTCGTCATTAATTTATTTATTTTGAGGTTACGTTATTGTTTAGGTGTCGTTTTTATGAGCGACGAGACGGAAACGTGAAGTTTATTGTGAACTGAGCGGTGAGGATTCTTTCGCTCGTTGACAGCCTACGAAAATGGTGAGTGCAATGTTTTATTCTTTGAAAAATCCGAAAACATCGGGAGAATTTCTCAAATTATGGAGAATTCCGAGGCTCTTCGAAGGACCGAACGGTTTTTTCTGTTTGGGGAAGAGAATATTTTCTTTATTCCAAAAAATTTCAGGGCGAGATCATGAAATTCAAGGGTTCAATTTTCTCGTCTCGGGTTTTTCGGGGAACGAGGGGTTTCAGGGATCTCCAGAATTTCGATGATTAATTAAGGGGTTCTGATTATTAATTGGGGTGACCTGGGGCTGGAGGGGGAGGCTGTGAAAATTTATTTGTTTGTTGGGTTGACAATTGAAGTTGAGGTTAGGGATGCTAATTAAAAATATTCTCATGCTTGAATTATTTATTTTTTGATAGTAATTATGTGTCAATTTAATTTGGCTTTCAGGCACTCGTCATTCCAGAGAAGTTCCAGCACATTCTTCGTGTCATGGGCACGAATATCGATGGTAACAGGAAAGTCATGTTTGCCATGACTGCCATCAAGGGAGTGGGTAGACGTTACGCCAATATCGTCCTCAAGAAGGCTGACATCGACCTGGACAAACGCGCCGGAGAGTGCTCTGAGGAAGAGGTATTAACTCCTTCAACCGACTCGAGGACTCTTTCATTAATATTTATTTTTTACTTCAGGTCGAAAAGATTGTCACGATCATGGCGAATCCCCGACAGTACAAAATCCCAGATTGGTTCCTCAACAGACAGAAGGATATTGTTGACGGAAAATACTCCCAGGTACATTAATCCCTCTGAGTCATACATTATCACAGCAGAAATCACGACCGATCGAACAGAATTATTCATTTTATCGATTGGCTGGTAGTTTCTGCCAGATGAACTGCTGTTAAGATTTTTTGAATTGTCAATTGGCAATTCTTCATCTAAACAGCAACATTTTTGTAATTATAAATCATTCCAGGCAATTAATAAAAAATTAATGGGAATTAGATAAACTAATTAATGTTTAGAATAATATTTTGAGGGAATTTTTGTATGGGGAATTATTAGAATTGAGATAATCAGATTTATTCTTCGTTTTTCAGTTGACGAGTTCAAATTTGGACTCGAAACTTCGTGAGGATCTTGAGAGGATGAAGAAAATCCGTGCACACAGGGGCCTCCGTCATTACTGGGGCCTTCGTGTTCGAGGTCAACACACGAAAACCACTGGCAGACGTGGTCGCACTGTCGGTGTATCCAAGAAGAAGTAATTTTCTCACTTACTGTACGTCAATAAACTCTTGAAACATTTAAAGACGTATTTCATTGCATAAGGTAAAACCATCTATACTAACATTCGCTGTATCTCGTAAACTGGTGGTCCTGGAGAGAGGGTCAAAGGAGCTTTTTTATTGCCCATGAAATTTCCTGCAAAAAATTCCTTCGGTATTTTCTCGTAAAACCCCTCGGTATCGAGATAGAAGGTGTGGAAGTCACATGCTTCACGAATTTCAAAACACTTTCTCACTCGACAATCGATTTATTTTTCCTTATATACATTATCTGATGAACGCAAATGCATTCGTTGTTTAATACCTGAGAATCCTAGAATCGTCGGTTTGATTCGTTAATTAAGAATTTTTTATGCATTAATTACGATTTTAGGAACACGAGAAGAGTTGCAATGATTTATTTGCTTTTAATAGAATTTTTTAATTATTTCTCAATCATTGAAACAATGGAATCGATATCTTGGAATTTGTAGAATATTAATTGCACAACTCGAACACGTTTGTACTTAATGACGATAATTAATTGAATATAACGAACAGCACGTGCCATTAATTTGAGGAAATCCTCTCGATAAATGCTCTGGGTACTTTTCCCTTTTCAATCCCCCTGAAGCCCATCAGATAGTCCTCGTCCCCTGATATTTCACTTACAGAGATCACCTGAAAATAATTGAACCAACAAAATCACGAATCATCCCAAAATTTCCAATTCTCTCTTATCTATCATCGCCATCTCTTAAATCCATAAATATTCCAATTCCATTTAATTATCATTCCCTTTCCGTTCTCTAACATTCACAGAAGTTCATGCACTCGGCGAAATAAAAGAACGTAATAAATAAATATTCAACTTTATTGAAACAAAGAGAAATAATGATATAAAAGTGCGTAAATAATCGTACAACAAAGGACTTAAAAATACTCTAAGCTGCCAGTGTGATAAATCCATGGAATTTCAACAAATATTTACAAAATAAATCATCAATGATATTCCACTGAATTGCTTTGGAAGGAAATACAACTTAGCATCTACATTGTTCATCACGCGTTACATTTTTATCACGTGTAGAAGAAAAGTGTAAAAATAGTCTGCATTCAGGACCCTACGAATTTTTCGCGTCCAAAATAATGAATACATCTAAAATAATTTACTCTACTCTTGAATAATATCGCTTAAAACATAAATAATAATCTCAAATCGAAATTGTCGTGCCTCATGCAAGAAAATAACAACCTCGGATTGTTTTCATATCTCGAATTTGTTTACCTCGTCTCGTGCGAGATTCAATTCACTCGTGTCCCTTGCCTCGTAATCACAAAGAACTCTGGCTCGATCTACTTCATTTTCGGTAGTCTCTGGTGTCTGATGGTCGACGGGATGATAAGAACTCCCTGTCAAACTGATAATGGAATCCATATGAATGCTGAAGAGGTAACAAGTGGAGTGGGTCAATTATTTCCCCAGGATTATAAACAAAAAAATGAAATTCACACCAAAATATCGATACAGGAATACAAGAAGACATTTATCAACAAGAACAACGATTTTTTATTATTAACGAAGAGATCTTTATCACAAGACAAGAATCGACTAAACAGTACTGATGTAGTAGACTTGTTTGGAGGAAAAAAATTTTGATTGCCCTAGACTGATTAACCATAATTAACACTTTAATTATTCCACTGTAGAAGCGTCTGATAGAACTCCATAAATCTTCAAATATCTGGTAATTTGATTTAAATTTTCGTTATGCCGGACTCGAAGGTAGCAGTAACGTAACTCGAATCTGACAATTGATGAATCGGAGAGTTATGAGTCTCCGTAGATGATGGGGTTATCTCGGCGATATCTTGGCTGTTGACACGAAGCAATGGACTCGGTTGGCGGGTCCTACAATAAATCCCCAAGTCCCATGAAAAGATCATCTCTAGTTTTTAATAAAAAAACCTTTACTGCGTCAATTTTATAACGCAAACAGACAAAGGACCGAATCTACTAGATATTCATCGTTTGTCGATGATTTATTTTCATGCGTGATGAATCCCGAAATAATTAAAACTGGAAGACTTCAGCATTTAAGAATTGAACGAACAGAAATATCGAATGAGTAATGCTGTGTATTTCCAGGGCTAATCAGTTTCTTATTCTCTGAAGGATGTTTACATTTCTGTAAGTGTAACAGCAAACATTACTCACTCGTATCACCATTCTATCGTGGGATAGCTGTGCAGAAAATCAGAGGTTTACTTATAAAACAACTGTACAGGTGTTCACAAATGACACTAGGTGATTAACTGGCCAATTGCACAGAGAAACATTTATGCAGAATTAACCCTGACCTACTAATTGATTATAATTACATTTTTATTACACTAGTTATTTTTTTTTTAATGAACTGAGTATTTTATCAGCCCAAGGGGCCGATCTTTTTAAAATTCAATGAAGAACGTCAGGGTAAATTGAAGGATAAATTTTTCTCTGTTTGCCAATGACTGATTAGACATACCCTGCTAATTCTCGTTGTAACTCCTGCATGGTGGCATGACACTGGGCATAATGTCGGGCCTGAGCCTCTGCGAACTCATGGAGACAACGAAGATGACCAGCTTGAGAGCTCGACACACCCTCCAGCAACAGCTTCGTTATCTCTGATTGTCTATCGAATTCTGACTGGGCTATCCTCAACTCTCTCTCTGCCTGAGTACAAAACAAAAATAAATGTTCTGTGTTATTCGTGGGAATGGCCAACACCTGGACGTTAATTAAATGTTTTAGCGGATGCATTTTACACTGGAAAGTACCTGATCCAACAGCACTTCCGGGGATACTCCGGAATCCTATTAGTATCGGAAATGCAGCAATGAAGGAGAGAAATGCTGTGATAATGTACACACAAAGCGACAGATCACTCCAGTGATTGGTGAAGCGTAACACTATTTTTTAATCATTCGATAATGAATTTTTCGGGATTCGTTAACGTAATCTCACTCTTTTTTATTTCTCTGTTACGAGTCACCAATCAACTGCTGAATAATTATTTTTTGATGGATAATGAAAGGGAAAATCTTGGGAAACTTACACTCTGCTGTCCCAGCATACTCCTCGCTTTTCTCACTCGGTTCTTACATGCGTCCAAGTCCAGACTAGATGTTCAGCGGTTATACAAATATATCATTAGATTTTTACGAGACATTGAGGATTTATTATTCGGATTTTTAGGGGATTTTATCAATTATTATTACCGCTTTGTCTCCAGTATTGCCATTTCTTTGCTTATCGTCTTCATCTCTCCATCCAGGAATTTACGAAGAGGCTGGATGTAACAATTGGCTGCTGTACCGATGAAATCTCGCTCGATCTGTCCCAATTTTTGCTGACACTGTCCAACTTTTATCAGAGCCGCACCTATTTTTTTTTATTCATTTAAATAAATTATTTAGTAATGATTCTTGAGTTCCACGTGGAGCAAGTCGCACCGAATTCATTGCATTTAATTGAGAATAATTTAAAATTTTGGAAATGACGAAATAGATTTCCTGTACCATAAGCTATTCCTGGTCCAAATTCGCTGCCCGCTTCGATCATGTCCTGTCCGACGTACTCCAAATTACTCAGTCTGTTGGGCTTCTTCTTGTCGATCTTCTCGTAGAAGAAATCCTCGATTCTGTTCCCTACGGCGAGACAATCGCATTACATAGATATTAGATATAGATAAATATTTTTTTGACCTAGAGAATGTCCTGAAAAGGTACCTGGATTAGGGGTCAGCATGGCCTCCATGTTCCTCAGTATTTTTTCTGTCCAACTCTTCGTCATGTTGGCCCTGTCAGCCAAATGTTCGAAATGTGCATCGAGCTCGGTTTTTTCGGATGTCCCCAGGGTCTCCTCTGTGAGCTGTCATAGATTAAATGATCAATCTAATTAATTCTACAATCAATTCAATCAATCCAATTGAGAAAATTCACAAACAATTCTTCGAGCCGACAGAATCGTTGACTAAAACCACAATTGTCCGATTTTTCTGAGAATATAATCGCGATTTTTTAGTCTTGATTAATTTGAGAGTTGTTTTTTAATTCACGACGAACGTAAGATTGAATTGATGAATTTCAATGGCTCGAGCCCGCGATTTTTGAAAAATACAAAAATACAGAATTGATGATGGAATTTGCAGTGATTTCACAATAAAGGGAGTGATCGGTAATCAACATCCTGCGGAGGTTAAATGGATATTCAGAAAATACCTGAACAACTCGACTCAGGGCTGCACCCGCATCTTTCACCAATTTTTTAACATTGAAGTCCATCATTCCGATTTTTTAAACACTCAATAGAAATTTATTAAACTTGCCCGGGGACTTATTGACTTTGACTAATTGTGTTAGATTTTTCGGGCTGGTTTTATGACTAACTCTCATTCTATCGATCTTTAACATTGTTTCTGTCAACCAGCAGCTGGCGCTGATAGTATATACAATGTACAATTTTTTTTTTTCATTTTTAATTTTTAATTTGTCCGTTTCATATTCGGGGATTTTTCCAACTGCCGATTTAAACCGGAGGGAATTTTTTTGGGGAGGTAAGAGGACCCTTTTCTAACCGATTTCATTTTCCACTCATTAAATCCCCTGAATTTGTCTTATGCAATAAATAATTGGGATAATAATTAATAATTACGAAGTGAGAATTCACCGGTGGAATAAATTTCCTGTGCGAGAAATGCATTTGCTATTTATTATTTATCTATCCGGAGAAATGGCTAATTGATTTAACGATCTAGTTAACGATTCTTTGTTTACCTGAACGACTCTATTGAATGCAGTCCTGACTCCATCCTTGACGAGTTTCTTCACGTTAAAATCCATGAAGTAGAGGTGGAAATAATTTTTATTGGGGAAGAAATTGTGCGACGAGGGTCTCAGAAGGATTCACCACCGAAACTTTCTCTAATCGATCGCGCGGTTTCGGATGGCGAAAATTAATCGGTGGAACACCTTTGCGACTGCGTACGAGGGAAGAGAAAATACTTCCCCAAAAAGTGGGATAAAAAATAAATGAAAAACCTGAATTTTTCGGTAATAGCTCATTCCTCTTTATTCATATTTCACAAATGAACAGAGATTGGATCGATATCAATTGCTCATTACCACGAGCACTGAAAATCACGAGCTAAATATCGCGACGACACATCTACCTGTAGAAAATGTTTTTCAAAATGTTGACAAAACGGTGACGTAGTCTCCATTTACAAAAAATTTTTCCATATAAAAATTTACGACAACAGTATAAAAAATTATCAATAATGATTAACGATCTAGATTTAAAACTCAAGGGTAATATGAAAAACAGATAAATCTGAATCTATCACAACAAAACGATAAACAAGGATCAGTCGAATAAAAAAAAATATATGGAATCAATTTATTTTTATTTAGTGTCAGACCATTGCGCGACCATTAGACGTCATTGAGACTTCATGGACACGAGTTTTCTCGATCTGGCGCGTGTTTCTGTCCTGATGTTTGTGTATTCAAACCACAAGACATTAGGAATGAGTGTAGTATCACGCAGAAGCAGATACTCCGATGTTTTCCTGTGGCAAATTAAAATTGTTGATCAATCATATCATTAACCGATTAATTACTACCGTCTCACCATGTCACAATGACTGGAAAATACGGCGTGAAGACTAGATGAGTTATGGAAAACCAAATGACCCCGATGATAGCACCGATTATCATTCCCCAGAGGACTTGAGAAATCGTGTGATAATGAAGATAAATTCTGCTATAAGTCACGAGACCAGCCACTGATAAGCATCCAGCAATTATCGTCCATCTCCAGAGCTTCTCGGATACTGTGCTGTTGGTATTCTGATGCATCCTGGAGGGAAAATATTATTTCTATGAAAAAAATTGAGTATTGCAGTGTAAAATTCAGTCTATTCCATTTTTCTTCTTTTTTACTCGACTAGATCTTCGCCAATCCCAGTAAAATTGAATCGAGTGGTAATTATCACCTGATGCAGACAAATGCTGTCGTATAAGCAGCGAAGAACCACATAAATTGGGAATGTGCTGATGGCATACCGTATTCCACGTACACGACATCTCGTCGCATCGGTCTTGCCTCTTTTATCGTATACTTGAGTAATAACCCCACGATGTCGTTAATTATTATACCAATGAAGTAACAAATCTGGAATTAATTGAATTTATGGAGTCATTTAGAGGATCTCGGTGGGATATATTTTTAACTCACTGTGTGCAAATCTCTCCTGAACAGGATAAGTGCAATAAATCCTGCAATAATAGCGAATGGCGTCAAACTTATGAGCGCCAAAAAAAGTCCTATGACATCTCCTAAAATGGAAAATAATAAAAATTATGAATTAAATTGTGACACGTGAACTAGATACAAAAGGAAGAGATTTAAAAATCTAGAGTATCGCAAAATATTGGGGTAGAATACAGGACTTATCTCAATATGCAATAAAAAAATCGTTAAAACTCCAATTGAAGTTAAAAATCACAAGATGCAAACGATAAAATATGAATAGATTAATGGATTAAGAACCTTTTGGATACTCAACAAGCGTCAGTGACAATGGCACCCATTTCTCATTGTCTATGTTGTTGTTGTTCATTAAATCCTCGATGCTGTCAATAAACTTGTCCTCGTGTGACGCCATATTGTGCGTCAAGTCGATGTGCGCGCCCAGTGGTTTATGGATGAATTTGTGGTACATGTGTAAAAAGCCATTCGCTGGAAGGGAGACACGTCATTTTCAAATCATCAAACAAACATACGAATTGTCAACATTACACCGCCACGAGAACAGGTGCAGGCTTGACTTGAGGACTTATTCATTCCTTGGCTGCCAATTCCAACAATCAAATCTCAAATGCAACCGCAGGAACAAGAATTATTAAATAACAAAATTTTATTACCATAAAAGACGTATAAAAACACTTAACGATACCTTAAAACTAACAATATAATACTGATCGGTGAGCAAATAACGAGGGAATCACTGGCTAAACGCAACTGTCATCACTCTTCGTGTCATGCTGGAAGGCAGGGTTGTCCCTGCCAATGGGATTCTCCACCTGACAACCGCTGAATTTACTGACAAGAAATATCTTGACATCATTCGCCCTGGAGTACTTGAAATTCAACGAAAATCGCCTCTCGATCTCCTCCAAACTTCGACCCCTGGTCTCCGGTAAAATAGCTAAAGAGAAAACAGCGCCAAAAATACTGGCAACTCCAAAAGCCAACATGACGAACTGTATTCCAACGATATTACTGATCTCCGGATAAGTTTTGACAGCAGTGAATGTCATGATCTGAGCAATGCCAGTAGTGAGGCCCCCCATGACACCCCTGAACCTCAAAGGATAGAGCTCCGAGGTCATCACCCAGGGGAGGGTCAAGTACCCGATCATGGAGAAGCCAACGTGACTGGCAACGCATACAATGGGAATCCATTCTGGAATAATTCCAGCTTGAATGATTCTCTTGGAGACAGCAACGAGTAGCGCAGAAATGGCCATGCCAATGGCACTCGTGCACGCGAGTGTTCTGCGATCAAAATGGCCGGCGCATATGGCACCCAAAATGGCCGCCAACAGGCGTACAACACCGATGCCAACGCTCGCCACATACTCGTCGATATCAGCGCCAATATCCTTCAGAACATTGACCGTGTAGAAAAGAATAATATATATTCCCGACATCTGCTGAAGCGCAAAGAACACGAAGAGAATGACAAATGGCTTCCAGATATTAGGCCGCAAAATGGCTGACGAGAGATTGATATCATCCTTGTGGCGTTCCAGAGAGGCGACACCAACGAGCTCTCGGTATTCGGTGTCGCAGGCGATCCCTGGGCCCCGCAACCAGAGTAGTGACTCCTGGGCCTCTGGAAGACGTCCTTTTCGGGCCAGCCATGCGGGACTCTCGGGGATGAGGCGGGTAAGCGCCAGGGAGAGGATTGCCGGGGCTATGCTGATGGCTGCTGTGCACTGCCACGTGGTGAGGGCACCCAGGGCGTAACTGCAGAGGACTCCCACCGAGACCAATACTGGGCCGCATGAGGCCAGCCAGGATCGTTGACCTGGTGCTGCGACCTGAAAATTTTGGAGGTATTTTTTCGTATTTATCTTGAGGGTCAATTTAGAGGGTGAAAAGGTGAAAATGAAGGGTTCAGGATCACCCACATCGAATTTGAATCTCAAAATTGAGGTTTACCTCGGTAACGTAGAGGTAGAGGGCATTAGCCATTCCCGCACCGATTCCACTGATGAATCTTCCTATGTAGAGCATTGATATGTTGGTTGACAAGGCTATGAACAACCAGCCAGCTGCATGGGGCAGGGTAGCCAAGGCTATTGCTGCTCTCCTTCCGAAACACTCGGCTGTCGAGCCAGCTATTAGAGAACCAAGTGGATTCGATATAACACCCAGTGATGCTATCCATGACGCCTCGATTATACTTGTCAAATTTGATTCGAGTAATTTTGGTATCAACACCGCACTGAAACCTTGGGAGAGGCCGAGGGATATCTGACCTGAATGCGCTGCTAAACTCGCTGTCACCTACATGACGGAAATTATCGGTTTAATCAATTATTTATTAGATGTCCCGCATTAAAAAAATATCAGTAATTGTTTGATAATAAATATATGAACAAAATGTTCATAAGATTTTATTTTTCAACTTGATCTCGTCAGGAATTTTCTCAATGTTTTATTAGAATTTTTATTAAAAAATCCAGTCATTCATGTGGGAATTATGCAACCTTATCACGTCATTTTGTCAAGAGATATTTAACAGAAAAAAATTCTTGTTTGTCTATAGAAATCCTTGGGTGTAAATTGTTCAGATAACACGCGAAAAAATGTCAACAATTCGTCCAAGGATTTTTCCACAAAAAAATCATTTTCAAAGGATTTGGTCGATGCAGTTAATTAGCGAAAGTAATTCTAACGCGTGCAGTGTAAAATTATAAAATACTCGATGATGAAGTGATTGAGATAAATTGCGCGGGTGAATTTGAATGAGGGGGGGGCTGAGCCCCTCTGGGATTCCCCAACGGGTCGGAGGGGGTCGAGGGGGGCCTAGCTCCTTCAGATCTACTTACACCTCTTGCATCCGTTGACTTGAATGTTTTCCACCAGAATTTGAATTGATTCAGCATTGCTCCACGAATTGGCGCAACCCTGCGACAAATAATCCGACAATTAATCAAAATTATTATGAATTATCCCGGTATTAATCCATTGAATGGGTAATGATTGGCGTTATCAAGTGACAGAGAATCACACGTACGATGAAATGTTTAAATTGAATGATAACTCCAATTACATGAGGACCTCAAACTGTTTAAGGGACTCTGAATCGTATGAGTCACGGGGCATCACATGTCATTCTTCGATGTGAAAGACATTTCCGCTTTTCAAATGAGGGGAACATGCAACATTATTCTACCCATCATCATTACCCCACTATTATTATTTAAATATATGTACTAAACACATTCAACACATATCGCAGTCACAGATATCGCAACATAATTCCATCTTAATTCGATCATTAAATCGAGGTCGAATATTGTATATCCGTTTCGAATTGCCATTGGGCTCTCATATTTAGGGATTAATATTGCTAAATACTCACTGGAGAGTTGGTGAATATAATTTTACACTGGAGAGGATAATGATGTACACTGGGGTGAGCTCTTTATTTTTTTTCTTCAGATCTCCGCAAATTAAATTCAGTCACATTTCTTGGATCATGTTATTCAACTGCACTGCAAAAATTGCTGTCACGTGCTGCGTACGTACGGGTTTTCGACTCTGACTGAGAAGAATCGCTGCATGTCTGACTTATATACACTCTGTTTCCTCGAGATCAAAAGGGAAGAGATGAAATGATCATCGGTGTCAGGATCGAAGGAGTACGATACAATGTTGACTGTTATGAGTAATTTATTCTATTTATTCTATTTATTCTATTTATTCTATTTATTCTATTTATTCTATTTATTCTATTTATTCTATTTATTCCATTTATTCTATTTAATCTATTTATTCTAGTCGGGTGGTCTCTGGGTATTTGCATGGAGAAATTTAATCATCAATCCCCAAAAATGAATTTACAAGTATTTCTAAGAAATTTTCCGTTAAAAATTCCAATTAAAAATAATGCAACACGATAAACTTATCTCGATGCAATTTTGCAGATTTGTGTAATTTGTTTAATTGTTCTGGAGTTTAATTGATTTTATTTGCACTGTTCGTGAAATTAAATTCAAGGACTTTATGAATTTTTAATTATTAATATTAATTAATATTTATTGGTGTTGTGGAAATAGGGGATTGCATTGATTTGAAGATAAAATAGAGAATTCAGGAATTTTAATTGTCCGCACCTGGAAATACAATAATTCATTGAATATTCAATGAAAAAATGAAAGTAAATAAATAAATTGTATGTTAATGGAGTGCTGTGAAGCTATTCGCATTTTTTAAAATTGAAAGTCGAATTGGTTTGGAAAAATTTTTGCAACACGTCATGTCACTGAAGACCGTCATATCATATAACATCTAAATAGATCATGATCATTCGATTTTATGGCATTTTTTATGGCACAAATTCTACGTGACCGTCATATTTTATCTAAATAGCAGAAACAATGTCAAGTTAATCAAAATCTCACGATACGCAATATTATTCCATTTTTTATACCGCAAATCCTATGTGACCGTCATATTTCATAAATCGCCGTAAGCGTGTCTCATTATTCGGAATTTTATGACTTTTTTTGTGACACACTTCCCATACAGCGCACATTATTATTCAAATTACCATTTTTCAACGACAAAATCATCCAATATTAATTACCCATAACAATATCAATAAATAATTCCCTAAAACGATTTTTTTTACTCCAAAAATTTTTCTTCTAACATTACAAAAGGAAAAGCGAGAGCAAATTTTCGGTGTGATTTTCAAATGGATAAATCTCAGAAACTATTGGTTTTACAAAAAAATATGAAAAGACCATTTTTATCGGAAATTGAGTTGCGCTCAAAAAAGGTCCTTACGACTTTCGCGGAGCACTCATAGTACTCGCGATAACACGATAATTAATGAAGACATTTAATTGTACTCAACCGATTTTGTTCCTCATCACGAGAATTAACTCTCCGATTTTCCCTTCGTGCAAAAACCCGGAAAAATCGTTCGTCTAATACGTTCAACAACTCCCCTGAAAACAACTCGAGTCACATAACGAGTACAGCAATTGCGAGATATTACTAAATGATTTAATTCCCTCTCTCCGTTGCCATAATAATTCTTCGATTTGCCTGTTAATTGTCATCACGATCGTTTGTTTACCCGGATATCTCCTGGAGGATCGACAGGCAAAATAAAAAAAAGAAACTCCAGGATCTGTTCCTTGTTATTTAAAAATAAAAATACCACCGAGGCGGAACAGAAGCGGTCGCCCCAGGGTATACAGATTCTAACGACGTGTTGATCGGTTGCTGCCCTCTACTATTTTTTTTTTCTCATTTAATTTTTCTTCAGCTTTTTTTATGCCAATCCTTTGCCGTTCGGCGATGACTGAATCAACCTTCGATGAAAGTTATTCCCGAGCCAAGGACCCCTGAAACGGATTAGTAGAACGGAAGATATTCTTTCTGACAGTTATTTCATTTCCGCAAATGTCAAATTTATCAATCCTGTCAGGATGTGTCCTTCGATTTTTTGTTTATCCAAATAACAATCATACCACTGGGGATTTTTATTGCCACATTGTTTAAAGAATTAAGATGAGTAATCGGAGAATAATTCATTTGTTTAAACAATTCTGCAATTACGGAACATCTGAAATTATTTTAAACAACAATTTTTCGTAGTTATTCAAGAATTCTCTCGTTATTTCTCTCTGTGTGATTAAAAATTCAACAGAAAATTCGTTAATTGGTAACAAAAAAAAAATAGCGCAAGCAATAATTAAAAAGTAGTAATCCACTTCCGAAGGATCACACGTATCACTAAAATCGTTTATTAAAAACCAATTTTCGTGGAGTTATTCAATAATTTCCTTATTTTTCTGACTATTTATTGAAAAATTCGAGTTTAAATTTCATAATTGGCGAAAAAAAATTAACGCCCTCGTTAAAAGTTAACTCACGGGATAATCGATTAAGATCCACCCCCAAATTACGCCAGCAGGTCTCATTTGTTACGTCCTAACGAGACATGAGCATTGAATAACTCGATTCTATTTTTCTAACCGGTGTATGGAAAATTCTAGGGAGTTTTGTACAATGAGAAACAACCGGCACGCTAAAAAAAAAAACCGGCGAGAGGAAAATTAATGCGGAATCAACAATGAAAGAAAACTCGTTCCTCAATTTCCGGCGTGTAATCTATTCCGTAGATTTTTTTGCCACTGTATTTTGAATTTTTCATAAATATTTTCAACCACTTGTGCAACCCACCGGTAAAAACGCCCGTAAAAATAACGCAAAAATTGTGATTTAAAAAAATGAGGGAAAAAAGCGAACGACCGGCAAAAATTTTCAATCATGTAATCATTTGATAGGTTTGTTGATTCATCCAGTGTCTTCCATCCTGCCCCAACGAATTAACGATACAATTTTTTTTCCTCATGACGATGGAAACCATCGGGATAATCTGGAAAATGATTTTTATTTTCCACTGGATCCGAAAAGCGCGGATATTCCGCGGAATCATTATTATTGTTCAGGCGATTCCAGGAGGGGAGAGGCGGCGATTAATTGCGGTGCCAATCATTCTAGCTGATAAGAGTCGTCGGACGATAATGATTGCATCATAATTGCATGTTCGTTACGAGAGTCAAGGGGAAGGACGTCTTCTGCTCTCGAACTCATCACCGATTAAAAATTCCCCGATCTATTACTTGCAAAAGCAATTCCCGCGCTATTATAATTTTATTAATTATGCAATCATTGAAAAAAAAGATAGATTTATTGAAGGTGGATTTTGATATAGGTGTTAGCTCAAATGGAATAACTTGTTTTGCTCATTGATATTGAAAATCGTTGATTTAACCGGAATCGATAACTTTTTTATTCGATTTTACCATTCTGGGTCTTTCTGATTTCATAATACAAATGACTAGAGGTTTATATCGGACCCTTGAATTGCGCAACTCTGTACGTGGCTTGTGAAGAGCCTTGGCAATGACCACTGCAAGTACTAGAGGTTGTCACGTAATTTTACTGTGAATGTGCGTATGAGTTTTGAGTTTTTCAAGTTTGAATTGCGGATTGAGTTCCAGTATCACCAGAATATCTCGAGAACGCGTCATCCCAGAGAAAAAGTTCACTCAACTTTTTCGTAGCTAACGAAATTTTCAAGGGAAAATATCTTTTCATATTTTTTCCTAGAACCTCGCGTTCTCTAGTTATCCCAGTAAATTCGCGATAAATCTGATTATGAATCCCGAATTTTGTTCGAGTGAACTAAAAGTCCGGTGCATTTTCACGAGATATCTCGAGAATGCGTCATTGTACGGAAAAATGTTATTAGACTTTTTTGTAGCTGACAAGATTTCCAGTAGAAGATGCTCTTTTAAGTTTTACCCTGGAACCCCTCGTTCTCCAGATATTTGAAGAAATATGGAAATTTATTCGTTCGAGTCTGTTTTTTTACAATGAATTTGATTTCCGTGTGGTTCCGGTGAATTTCGTGAGTTCCTCGGTAATTCTACACGTGTGGAACCTAGTTTTTCCCAATGGCGCTGTTCGTCCGTGGAACCGCGAATAAATGGCAGTTCATGATGAATTTATGTTGCAATTTGTCTTCAAATCAGTGCAGACTGCGAAAATCATCATCATTTTTTGATAATCTCTGGTTCCTCACAGAATGTCGAAGGATAGCAACAACCGGTGTTAATACAATCATTCCAACCTCAAAACTCATCAGTGGTAAACTATTTATTTGAACAACAAATTCATTTTTCTATTTTTTTTCCTGGACACGTATTGTTTATTGTAGACAAAAAATGTGATGTTGTGGAGCCCTCAGCTGGGGTATTTGACAGATTCATGTCAGCAAGAAGGAGAGAATCCAAGAGAACTGTTATCATTCAGGTGCAATCACCTGATTCTTACAACGATTTGTACTCGTACTGCACAGAATTTGGTCCTGTCAGCAACATGTATCATTATGTTGTTGCCAAAACTGCGGTGAGTATAAAAATTGTCTTGTAAAATCAAAAATATATCAATCAATTTATTTACTCTGTCATTCATTTTTTTATTCCATCCTGCAGTTCAAAGCAACAATTTTGATATAAACAATTCAGAGAGAATAATTGACTGATTTATTGAATTTTTTATGGAATAAAATTACTGATTATGTAATTAATTCTTTGAAGAATGTGGCTTCCAGCATTTTTTTCTAGTCGAATTCAAAGACGTTGAGAGCCACAAAGCTGTTCTGGCGGCTGCGACCCTCATAAATCACCAGGAGGTCATTCCCACGTATTCTTATATGCTCTGGTTCAGAAATGCTCCGAAGAAGTCCAAGAAAATTCTGGAAAATATACCCCCAGTGGTGCGAGGCAATGACGACAAGTCCGAGGAGAAAATCTATCCAGATCTCTTGGCAATTAAATCTGTGGGTCATTTGCATGAATTCGATATCTTTAGAGAAATAGGGAAATAACTCAGAATTTATTTCGAATGAATATTCTCATGTGCATTCAATTTTCGACAGAGCAGTAAATTAATTAAAGCATTTTCACAGATTTCCGAACAAATGGAGCTTCTGTACGACAGTTGGAAGCTCGATGATATATCGACACGCCTTCGATTCGTCACAGCCCTCCAAATGGAGAGAAATTTAACGAGTTTATTCCCAAACATCGTAATCCTACCATTCGGCTCGTCCGTCAATAGTTTTGGTAAACGTGGCTGCGATCTCGATCTAGTCATGACTCTAGACGGTGAAAAACGAGAGAAAATAACTAGTAGATTTGTCTTTCAAACGAAATCATCTCTCCCTGAGGAAAGAGCACAGACGAAAAAATCGATGGAAATAATTTCGAATGTAATGCAGTCGTTCATACCCGGAGTGAGAAATGTCAGGAGAATTCTGCATGCCAGAGTGCCAATTCTAAAATACGATCACACATTGACTGGTCTCGAGTGTGACCTCAGCATGACAAATATGTGAGTTCGATTCTCATGATTTTTTTACACGATCTCCCTGAATCATGACGAAAGCTATTAATTCCAGGTCTGCTGTGTACATGTCAGAGCTCCTATTTATTCTTGGCGAGCACGACGTACGAGTGAGACCTCTAGTATTCACGATAAGACAGTGGGCGACTTCTGTGGGACTGACCAACGCCAATCCTGGGGGGTGGATCACAAATTTCTCCCTCACCCTTCTAGTTATTTTCTTTCTACAGCAGAAAAAGATTCTTCCCTCGATTAACAAAATGAAGAATCTTGCCAGTAATTTCAAATTGACTCTGACTCTCTCAAAGACATGAATAATTGAATCCTATAATAATTGTAATAATTCCAGGGCCTTCAGACATTCGTCTAACAGACACGTGCGTGGACTGCACATTCGTGAGAGATCCGAAAATAATTCCATCAGGCACCTGCAAGGACTCCCTCGAGATCCTGCTCCGTGATTTCTACGATTTCTACGCAAATTATGATTTTGCATCTAGAGCGATATGTCTGAGGGAAGGTATAAGTCTCTACAAACCCGATTCATCCGCTCTCTTCATCAGCAATCCCCTGGAGAAAACTCTGAACGTCAGCAAAAACGTGACGCCTCCAGAAGTCATGAGGTTCATAAATGCTGTGAGGAATGCTGCGATGCTCTTCGACGAGGGATTAGCACCCAACAGCCGCGGAATCCTCGATATTTTTGCTGAAAAACAGCCCCAGAAGAAGCACTTCATCCTGGGACGAGGGAATAGCAACAAAAAGGTTAATATTGCAGAGCTCTTTCGTGCTGACGAAGGAAACAAGTTGAACGAAATCGACACGATCGATCACTGGAAAAAGGAAAGGGCGAGGCGCCGGTGACTTGATCCTTTTCACTCACTCATTATTTAACATTGATAAATTATCAATGACATGTCAGTTCTGTAAATAAATTCGATCGCCAGAAGATAATTTATTCTGCACGATTCAATATTTTTATTTCCATCACAATAATAATCCAACAATATCATCGGTTTAATATTCTTCCACATTACGCAATCATATATTTCCCCATCAAATGCTTAAACCACAGTAAATATAACGTACAATGAGCATTATCAACGCGATACGTCGCATCGAGAAATATTCAATTCATTTTCTCCGTTCATTCATTAAAATGTCGAACGGCCTTAGGCTCAAATATCTAGATATAGATAAATATGAACAAATACGCAAACCATTGCCTTGATAGCGATTAAATAGACCCTCCAATCATAACGTTCATTTGATATTAGTAATAATTCTGGATCTATAATTTTTCTCATTGATCATTAATCGATTAATTTAAATTCGTTATTTACCGTTTGGCAGTGTTAATTTACTAGCTCATTAATCGTCCTCAGTATCTCCTAATAAACGGCCATTGTGTTTGATTAACTTCTCGAATTTAATTCATCAAGTACTACATGTCATTTATGCTAGCTCTTCTATTATGATTGACTATTGGAAGGCTCTAAGCGCCTCATCAATCGTCACGAGGAATTTATCATGTATTACCCTCGTTGGCAGCATTTTTACATGGTCATTGTGGCGAAAATTTTACTTTTCAGTGGACATGGCAGTTTTTTTTTGTTGAATGAAAATTAATACGACTACAAAAATCCCCGGACGCGTATGAGAAAAATTTATGGAAAAGTTTTTAGGTGAAAAATTCCCCTCAATATTTCTATACGTGTCGGGATCGATAAAGATGAGATGAAAAAAAATTCAGTTAGTTTTGCACTTGCGATGGTGCCTGTGATGGTGAGCATGATGCCTCTGAACCCTGGTCTCCTGGACAGCAGCGACGAGGGTCCTGACAGCCTCTTCGTGACCCTCGAAGCTGTCTGCTTTCTTGAGGGGTCCGAGGCCCGTGGCCCTGGCTTCAGCAGCCGCAACAGCTGGGGATCTTTTGCTCTTGGGTCTTGGAAATGTCTCCCACGAGCGTTGCTTCTGCACGAGACTCGATGCAGACTTGGATTTTGGTGTCGGCCCGATGAGAACGAGCAATGTTTTTCTGGTGTCTTGACTTATCGGCCCACCAATCGTTCCCTCCGCAATACTAGACCTTCTGCTGTTACCGGAACCAGTCGTTGATAAACTATCGCAACTCGCTCGTCTTCTTCGTCTCGCCTCGGACGATTTGTCCCCGTAGAAGACGTCCTCCGAATCACTGGCAGGATAAACCTTCGCCGATTTTTGAATCGACGACGATGAGCTCGTTGGTAGGGGCTGAGATTTCGATTGCTGAGACTGAACTTTCGTCTCTTCTTGGGGGACAGCGTGAATTTGCGCCTGCACTCGTGATTTCTTGGCTTCTCCGAGAGTTGACGCCTCGGATATTCGTTGGTATTCACTCTCATCTGCAGCACCTTAAAGCCAGATAAGAGTTAATAAGAAATGTCGAGCAAGAAGAATCGAACCTGGAACGTATCACCTCTTACGATTTATAATTGAGACACAACAATATCATAATAAAATTACCCGCAGAATGAACGTGCTGCTGATGTGACTCCATCTTATCACCATGATCGATGATATCCCCACAGGTGTCCTTGAGGGTTCTGTAAAGAGATCGCACTTTGCTGCTAGACGCCTGTCCAGGTGGTGTCTTGGGTTTGGCTTGATCCGGTGACTTCCTGGATCGCCTCGTCTGACTTCTGTCCCGTCCTTCCTCACGACCCGGTGATTTTTTCCTGTCCTCTCTCATCCTGGCCTTCTCTATCAATTGACTCAGCACTCCTCGTTTCGCCTCCGAGGATTTGGCAGTGCCATAAACTATTATATTCCCACCAGAGTCCAGCAGAGCTCCCACCCCACCAGAAGGCGTGTGACTCCTCGCTGGAACTTCCTTCGATTCTGATAACAATAAGAGAATATTTTTATTATCTATTTTCAATTCTGTGGAGCTTACAAACCTTTCATGTAAAGAATATTATCAGCCCCAGTCTTGCCATGCCTGCAATCCTTAGTGGGTGCAGGCCCCTGTCCTGACTCCTGCATCTGCATCCTGGTGACATGATCCAGCAGTGCCTGGAGATGCTGATGACCCGCAGCATCAGCAGCAGCTGAACTCACCTCACCGGCAGTAATTCCGGCTGAGAATGATTTGACAAAAGGCTCCAACTGTTGAGTCAAGCTCTGAAGCTGCTTTACCTCACCCCTGAGTGTCAAAATATCATTCATCTGAGAATGGAAGATCTCTTTCTCAATATGAATCTTGCACAACTGCTCCTCCCAGAGTGCATCAAAAATATTCCTCAGTCTCTCGAGTTCCACCTGGTGATGCTCGAGCTGTTGCTCCAGGAGTCGACAGTCCCGGGTCACATGCTCATACCTAGAGCCCAGAGGAGGAGTATTAGCCCTCCTGAGCATGGCGACATCCCTGTGGAGTTCCTCGAGCCTCTCCTTGACAGTTATTAGCTGCTGACTCAAATCCTTCAGCTGAGAGTCAAAATTTCGGCAGTGACTTGAGAATGGTCCACGATCAGGCCCAGGTTTCTGGGTCCTGGGGGGTGTCTTCGAGGTCTGCAGATGGGGCTGGTCATTCTGATTGCTGTGCGTGTGTTCGTACAGGGAGTCCTTGTGGCCCTGGCCCTGGGACTGAACAAGAAATGACTGCAGAGATCTGGCGAATTCGGCTTTATAATTCATCTTCAGGTGAGCCGATATCAGGGAGGGCCTGGACGGATGCCCCAGCTGAGCAACTCTTCCCAGCCTCTCCAGCATCGGATGCGCTAGCTCGAGAAATTGATATTTCGTTGCACCACTCGTAAAAACAGTGCACAGCATCAGGTGCATCTGGAGAACAGGCAGGGCTGAACCCAGGTTGATCAGTTGCGCCCTCACCATTCGATCTTTACTCTCGAATTGTCTCTGGAGCTCTGAAATAATCGACGAGTGACTCTTGCCGATTGTCTCCTGCATTACCTGGCAGTAGGCGTTTAAGGATCGTTTCTCGGTTTCAAGGCTGTGCTTTAATTCATCGAGTTGAGATTTCAGTGCCAGTACACCATCACGAACACCAGCTTGTATCTCGCATATCGAATTGGCTGCTTTCTCCATCTTCTTCGAGGCCTGTTGCCAAGCTGTGTCGATGTCCACGCAGTGCATTCTCGCATCTGCTGGTGTATCTCTCACGCATGTTGCACATAACATCGATTTTGTACTCTGGCTGTACATTATGTAGAGTTCCCCGTGGGAGGCACATCGCCGTTGGGTGTCCTTCGAGCATTTGCTCATGTGGATCACCTCGTGGGTTGAAAACATTTTTGCTCGGTGCGTGTGCTCTCGGCAGTGCGTGCACAACGCCTGACCTGTAATTTTTTTTATTAATCATTTAAATAAATTTGGGAATTGCAGGTAGTGGAGTCCAGGGCAGTGGAGAGTATTTTAAATTGAGGTATGGAGAGGACCTATTGTGCTCTTCATCATTGCATCACCTATTGTCGAGTCCTTCAAGTTTCTATTGTCTACCACGTAACAAAAACTCACCGCAAGTAGTGCAAAAGAACATTGTCGTTTTGTCTCTTTTGTCACAATTTGCGCACGCAGGATTCTCCGAGTTTGCTATCTCAATCAATTGTCGCATCAATTGGTCAGCTGGTGGCAGCTGACTGCCTTCCTTCAGTTGTGTCATTTGTCTGAGAAATAATTGAAATTTTTCATTTCATTACACGCCAATATCTCGATAACCGGGGGTCACAGACTAAAATGACATTAGACTTTCTTCTAGAAAATTTCAAGATCTACAAAAAATATTTTTACATATTTTTCGGTATACCCCTTCGTTACCGATTTAAGAACAATTATTGATAATTATGCGACTTTAATTTGTTTATAATAGAGAGGATAAACGAGAATTTTTAGGGATATCTATGGGAGAAATGGAAAAAGTGATAAGAACCTTTTTTGTAGCTCTCATTCTACTCTATCAATGAAGTCTTTATGAAAATTTCGCTATCTCCCCCAAATTCCGAGATATCCCTCAAAACTCAATCACAACTCACTAACTCCGTAATAACTCACCCGCATATGGGACAGGTAATCTTCCCATCAATCTGCGTGTTCCTGAGGCACCTGGCGCAAAACGTATGAAAGCAAGAGAGTAGACAGGGCTCGGTGTAATAATCCTGACAAACCCCACAGATCAATGGGTTCCGCAGCCCTGAGGACCCATCCCCGTCTACCCCATCGCCTGCACCTGTCCCTGAGCTCGCCATCATCCTCTCCTTATCGATTCATATCACAACCTGAAATGATCAGGTATCACCACAAAAACCCCAAGAAAATCGTCACTGTAAATTTGTACTACACAGGAAATAAAATTAAAACAAATTTTTTTCCAAAAAAAAGGCGAAACCAAAAAAATCTCAAACAAAAAGACTTAATTTTTATTTCAAATGGAGATGTCTCCATTTGTTATTCGCTTACCGTCTACACTCCATATTATGATTGTTACTCTTATTTATTATTATTTATAAATGATTTATGGATTCATTATTATGGAAAGAGACAAGGCAGATTCGGCCGATCACTTCGAGGGCTTTTCCACTTGCGTGCAGATTGGGGTGGGCTTTAAGGATCCTGTTTCAGGGCTCTCCTCCACGCATGTGCCAACTGGTGAATAGACAGGGTGAAATACGTCACAGAGGGTTGCAACCAATGGGAATCCTGCGGTTTTCTACTCGTGCTGGGGGGTTGGTTTTTTTTTTTTTTTGTTAACTTTTTTTTTTTTTCCCTTTACACAGTTCTTTTTCCATCGCCGAGGGAGGGGAGCCCGATGACGTTGTGCATGACCTGGGGTACGGGTCAATGGGTGTAAACATTTGCTGCATTGAAAAGCATCGTAATGGGGTTTGGGAAAAAGAGGCCACGATTTTCACGGATTTTATCGGGTGTTCGGAGCGGGATGGATGTGAGATATTTTATGAGAGTCAAGGGAATTTTCAGATTCTCTGATGTCACGGGGGAGAGGAAAAGGATTTCTTGTCTTTTTGCATTTTTTAATATCAAGCTATAACAATTAAAAAACAATAATATGTGACATAAATAATAATCAAATTTATTCGATTCAAATAATCCCTTAAATACTCCAGAATATCATGAAAACGTACAAAACTATGAAATTTCGTAACTATATACAATCAGATTAGAAATGTACTTAAAATCGTATATTTCGTTACAAGTGCGGAAAAGTGACTTTTCCGCACGGCATGATGAAAAGAATGATTAAAAAAATAGAATTGATTGTGTGGATAAAAAAAAAATATTCGAACGATTTCTCCGAGAGTTCAGTACTCCTCGTCGTCGTAGTCGTACCCGTAGTGTTCATCCTCCTCGTCATTCCTGTGGAGCATCTGCCCGAGGCTCATCTCGTTGGGATCAACCTCGACCTCGTCCTCCCCATCATTCTCCACATCATCAGGTTCGATAGCCACCTCTCCCCTCCCATCCTTACCACCATCCTCAGGATCATTGACGTCACTCTTCCTCCAGGTGTAATCCTCCACCTTAACCTTGACCTCTTTCTCAACTTCCTGAGGGACAGTGACGTCGACTTCCTCGTTATTTCCACTGGCACTCCCCTGAGGCACCCCGACATTCAAACTCTTGAGCACCTCGTAGTTGATCTTCGTGGATATGCGTTTCTCCTGGAGCATCTTCTCGATGGCTTCACCAGCGGTGTTGGCTGGACCTGTCTTCTTCTTACCACCGGCCTTGCGTTTTTTTCTCTCGGGTTTGCCTTCCTCCTTCTCCTTCAGCCTCTTTTCCTCCCTCTCCTTCTGCTGCTCCAGGTAAGCAGCATTCACCTGGTGCCAGAGATTGCTCTTCATGCTGGCCTCCTTCTCGGACATTATGTAACTGTCAAGCTCGTCATCGTCTAGATCAGTCATATCGATTTCACCGTTTCCAGTCTCGAACAAGTCCTCTCCATTTTTATCGCTGATCGATACCCCGAGACCCATCGACGCGATGTCAGGCCCCAGGCCAACGTTGACGGATGATTCTCTCCCGGAGTCCCTCCCGGAGGCCTCGGTATCCGGAAACTTTCCATCCAGGCACTCATTTATAACATCAATAGTGCTCTCTGCAACGAACCTCTCGGCGTCCGCCTCCTCAACCCCATCATCGCCCACCCTCTTCCTCTTCCCCCTGGACGTCTTGAACTCCTCCAGCTGCCGGTCAATCTCATTCGTCAACTCATCAAACTCACTCTCGACATTCTCCAGTTTCTGGAGCCTCTCCCGATCCTTCTTCCTGGCAGCCTTGAATGCCGGTGGATCCTGCTCCTCCTCCAGGTCTACTGTCATGAATTCATCAAGAGTCAGGGCACTGGATGGAGTATCCCCGAACTCTATAAGCCTCTTCCGAAGAGTCGACTCGTGGACCTTGACGATCTTAATTATATCATTGGGTGTTCGATTAAACTCATGAAGACGAGATGCGATGAGGAGAGCAGCACCACAGAGACCCGAGGGTCTTCTCCCAGAGTGAATGCTATCCCTCATCATCCTCTGGAGGAGTCTCTGGGCCGTGTTGGAGACCTCGTTTGTCTTCTCCCCGAACTCCAGCTTGAGGGCGTACTTCATGATGAAGAGGCAAGGATCCATCGAGGGGATGTTGATGCAAAGGGCGTTAGTGAGCTTCAGGTACGTCCTCCCCAGCTCGTGAACGTCGATCTGCAGGATGTCGCTTATGTCTATCAGGAGGTGAGGTGTCTCCTCAGTTCTGCAGGTGATGTAGACACATGCGGCGTGATTGTGGGCGTGTTTTCTGCCGCGTGTCAAATTCCTTGAAAGTGCCATTTTGTAGAAATTCACGGACGTCTCAATATGGCGTTGATTCAATCTCAGCTGTTGGCACAGGTGGGCAATACCGCGACGGGCATTTTGAATCGTTATGTCACGGGATTCTTTTCCATTCACGTGATAAGCAGCACCAAAACCCGTTGCACCACCTGTACTGTCACTCGAGACGAACTGACCTATCAACGCCATCGTCCCCGCGGGCGTCTCCTCGAATATTGTTTCGTTGACGATACGCTGATCCTCCAGGACAACCCCGCATGCTGTACATACAGCATCCCCTCGGGCTGGATCTGTCTCGATTTCCGTCGAACCGCAGTTTCGGCATTTTCCTGACATTTTTCTTTTCAAGGTCAATGACACCTGGGGACCTACACCGAGAAGTTTTTTTGTGATTCTCTGGGAGAGTCTGGAGAATTTTTATCGGGAGTTTATAATTCTGTTAGAGTTTTTTCATTAATATGCAGGCGTTTTATGGAAATAATTGGGGAATTAAAAAAAAAAGAAATTAACAGGGATTTTACGAATTCTCGAAAAAATTTTTGGAATTCCTTGGAAGAAATGTTTATTGTTTAGACAATTAAATAAATTAGGTAGGAATGTGTCAAGTAAATAATACGCGGTAAGTAAATAGAAAAAAATATACAGAATAGAGAGATCATGGAATAATAAATTAATAAAACGAAGTGGAAGCTAGTGTTCTATGACCTTCTGCA